ACATTTGATGTATTTTTAGCCGTAAGACTAGGACGGCAAAATAATTCAGTTAGAAATAAATTAATGCGTTCCGTATTTATCGTTTGAATTTTAGAATAATTCATACTGTTTGCAGAATTCTACTGCCTACTACGTTTGTTTTATGTCAAAACTCACTTCTTTTAACAATATCTCCGTTGTCATTATTTTCATTGTTATGATCCGTGAGATAATCATGCGTATTACGATTGACTAAGTCATGATCATGGACAATATGTTGATCGATCGGATGAGAGGTGTTGACATTTGATCCATTACAACCATCAGGGGACTGAGAAAGTTTATCTCGATTGATGTCATATTCATCAGCTTTAGAGAAAAACATAGTTGATTCTTCAAAGAACTATATAGAACTATTATTACATTCTGATTGTTGTAATATGTCGATTATTCCATATTCGCGCTCCATCGGTCGTATAGTGCGTCCGGCTAAAAAACAAAAAGAAGATACCCTACCCTAGTAAATGTACTTTTACAACTACTCTCACGAATTTTGTCAAACGTTTGTGGGATTTTCTACTTCTAATCAAGTATTTGAATTACTTCACCTTCTTATCAAGTACTTGGCTATGCGCTAGCTCAATTAATCTGCAAGTGCCTTTGAGAGTCCAAGCAGTAAATTAAATATCTGCTACTTTCAAGTGCTTCTACAATTGATTACCGAGTGGCATTTTATAAAAATACTCATCAAGTTGTGTAGCCCTTATCATGTTTGTCAAGTACCCACAGAAATTTACAAGTAATCAAGCGTCCACTTGCAGGTACACCGGCTAGTAGATTACCTTTTAATACGATTGATCAAAATGAACGTTTTTCTTCTATTCTTCAAGTTCAAGTCTTACATGGATGTAACATAGCTTAGGCTACAGCCGACCTAATGTAAATTGAAACAATATTTACCTGATTTTTTTCGTTGAGATGACATCCTAAAGACCAAAAGTAAAAGAAATGTCTGATATTTTTCTAGTGTATATCATTAATATCTTACAAAATTAGCACACCCATTGAAACGAGACCTGAAGCTAATACTAAAGCGATGAAAACCAACAGCCAATGATGATGATGTGTATGAAGTGAAGCTAAAATTCAGTTTAGCATTATCAAAGGTGGCAGAGCTCCGTACGAACTCAAAATTTTGAGTCCAGCCTAGTGCGAGTCCAGTATATTGAGTAAATAGTCCAGTGGATTTTTAAAAACTCTGTGTGTTCTAGGAGTGATCCATTAGCAGCACGACCATTGTCAACAAACAGTTTATTGCTGCCAATTTCTATTTCCCCACCCATGCTGTGTAAACCGCTCGAAAACGGTCGGTTAACCGACGGTTTACACAACATGGGCGTCGTCAGTTGTTATCACAACTTTAGCGTCCCTTCGCTTCTACTATCACACCATTTGCTCCCAGACCACCCCCACGAGCACTAATTTCACGCTCTAATTCACCGACATGAAATGAGCCCACACACCATGATATTCAATTACAAGAACAAAGCTACAATGCTTCTTACACTAGTACACGCAAAAAGTGTTAAAATCTGTTCGTGAGCAAACATATCGGTACTGCTCTATAAAGACGAAACAATACGAAGTAAGAAAATAAAAATAAAGAGTTATTCTCTTTCCAATAAACTGTTCATTCTCTGTTCGAATGACCGTTAGTAATTGTTTACCTATTACATAAACAACCACTAATGGTCATTCGAACTCTTTTAATATTTAAAAAAAAGATAAATACCTCGGTAGAATGATCTCTTCTAATACACAAAATAAGATGTTTGTTGTTTACCTACGCTGTGCCAGTGCAATTTGCCGTGATAAATAAATAGGTTGATAAACGAGTGAAACAGCTGGTGGTTGTTCGATAATATTAACGATAGTTGCTTTATGATTTTGTAGCTGTTTTACTTTTCTACCTTTGTCATGTTTTGTATTGTACATGAGTGGAAGCGATGCTATATATTCAGTTTCGATTTGCGGCTGCAGTAGCCCATGATCAAGATCGCCGTTGTATGATTTCGATTTGAAAAAGTGGTGTTTTCTTCCGTGTCTGGACACAAATTGTTGTAATAATTTTTCATGTTGCGTTTTTATTGCATCTAATTTTCGTTGTTCAGTTTCAAGTTTTTGTTTAAAGTTGCGAATTCGTCTCCATTCTCTCGCTTCCGCTATCGAATGTGATCGACGTGATACATTTTCATCATCATCTGAATGGTTCTGGTTCTTATTATGCGGAAATGAACGTCTTTCGTCTGAATGTTCGCTGTTTTTACCTTCTGAAGACGATGACATGGTTAACCTATCAAGAAAATTTGAGTCAGGTACTATCAAATCCACAAAACCTTCTAATGCGAGATACGATAGAAAATCGGTGTCTTTACATCGTGTGAATCTTAGTTTGAGTGTGTAAATAAGTGAAAAGTGTCTATGTCGACGTACGAATCAACATTCGAACCGAGATGTTCTTCGTGTCCGGGTTGTATAACACTATTATTATTACTCTCATCGTCGGCTTGATTTGGTTTTTGTTGTTGATCCTCTTCCTCCCCGGACATATCTCTATATGAAAGAGAAACGTACATATGCCAGCAGAAGTAACCAGCCATTTTTACACATACTGTTTTTGTTCATTTTCAAAAAGTCGTTTAAATCTGGCTAGTTCTGTAAAATATTCGTCATTCTTCCCCAGATGGTGTTCATCTTCACTATTACTCGTCTCCATGTTCTTTTATTTTGAATCAACTTCTCAAAATATAATTCAATATTGCATTTTATTCTCTGATATTTTGTAACTATGCGCCAATTTCTCTTGTTCTTATTGAACTCAAACAATGAAGGAAGCACGTAGAAAAAATATTTGAAACTTTTGCGTAGTTCATTAAATTAGTCCCTAAAAGGTCTATAATTAGACTATGTAGATATTGTACCGTTAAGAAACATAAGTTTAGAAAAAGTAAAGTTTAGAATTAAATTAGATATCAATAGTGCAGATTGTAGAAGAACAGAAAAGGTTTATTTGGGATCACTGTAATCATCGTGGACAAATTCCATTTTTACCGATATCATTATAAATTTAACTGTGCAGTTTTGCGCTTAGGAGACATTGATTACTTATAAACAAGTATGCGAAAATCAAATGTGCAGTTCGAAAGGCCTTCTTATGAAAGGGATCGATTTCTACGTAATAAGTCTAAATATTGTTCAATTTCCGCTTACATATCTGGAATGTAACGTCGTCGGACGCTATATTATATGTTTTTAATTTTTGCCCAAAGTACAACTTATGTGAAGCTGATGTTTAAGTAATAATATAATTTTAATATAATAATCTGAAAAAGTTAATAATTCCATACTTAGTGGAGCGGATGCATAGCGGAGAGCTGAAGCTGCTTAAGATCATCACTTTTACAAAAACAGCCTTTACACTTGTTCGCTGCTAATCACGTCTGCCAATCAAATATACTACTTTCTATAGATAAGAAGGCTGATTTAATTTCATTAATGTATATTCAGTTCTGCTTTTGTTCTCATGTCAAAAACTATTTTTTACTTAAGGCTGTTTTCTTTTTTTTAGCAATCTTAAGATCTATGCTTCCCCCTCTATATACATATTGAAATTTCCGTACACATGTCACACTCTAGGCTTCTTAACTAATGGAACACTTTTCTCTACTTTGCAAAACGCAACTGCTAAAATAAGAGTTATACAAGCCCCGTGCCATAATGCATTGATCGATAAATATTTAACTACTTCAATATAGTATTCAGCGAGTGACACTTGGCGGAACTCGTTGAATCCCTTGACTGTAATAAACAGAACAACTTTAGAGTTTCATGGAGACGCTATAGATATCCCTGGTGATTGAATATCACGGTTATCTGTTGTTTTAGGCCAAACCAACTCAGAAATCGGTAGAAAACCTAAGGATTCTCTGAAAACCCTTTAGAGATTCTTCCAACCAGAATCTCTTGGGATAAGTGTGGATTATTATACCATTCAAGACTGAAGTCAAGAGAGTTTGCTTTAAGTGAAAGAAATTTTTTCTTCCTGCACATCCACCGTCTTCTGACGAACAGACAGGCATTTTTCATTTTATGATTCTTAAGTGATTTAATCAAGGAGCAATATGATAATGGTAAAAGAAAAGAAAAATTTTCTTTCTACAGGTTGTCGGACGAACTTTGTATTTTAGTCTTATTTGATCGATATCGCGAATCCATAAATTCTACAATAAAAATTGAAGAGATAAAACGATTGCGTTATTTTTTGGAGACTAACATGGGTTGATTCAGAAATGCAGCCAAGCTGTGCAGTGAGTACTTCTGCTCTTTTGCCCTAGTAATCATGATGAAACATGTTCAAACTAAACAGATTGAAGATGACTTCTACTCTTTCTCTATTTGTGTCAAATAACGGCAAAAAAACAACAAAATACAACACATGTCATTATGACCAAGGATAATACTGTAAATGAAAAGTTTTTTTTTCTATCGTGTCTCTTTTTTTCGTTTCTTCATTCAACGCACACGCTTGTCAAAGAGAAAAAGCCACTGATATTGCGTTGCATATATAAACTTATGTGGAAGAATGAATAAAAAAATAACTAAGATACAATTAATTCTTTGTATAAAATGAGATAAACTATCATTTTTTTATCAAACGATATTTACAATAACATTACAGAGATTTTTGTTCGAAAAAGTAAAATATAGATTATAAAAACAATTTGATAAAAAGGTGTACTCTTGTTTTCGTCAGCGGTTTAACAAGGAAATCAAACAAATAATATCAATATAAATTATCGAGAAACATTTTTAGTATAGACGATTGCCTCATTACTTTTTTGTTCGATATTTAAATAAGTCACATAGGAGATCGTGTCCATACTGAAACACATTAACTCTGAGATGACGATTCATGAACAGTTCCAACACTAACAGAATATCAAATACAGTAAAAACGGAGATAACAAAATCAATACAATGAACAATCGCAACGACTGCATATTCGAAAGATCGAACAAAAAATTTGCATATTGATACTTTCATACATTCATTTTCTACAGTAACAAAATCAGTTCTTGATGATTATTTTTTGTTTTCAGTTTTAGAAATGCATTGTAATCCGTTGCCATCACGTGCATTTTTATTTACCAGTACATTATTTGTTTTATTTGGGTTATCGACATGGTTAGATATCAATGGTGTATGGGTTCAACTTCCGTTAATTGTCAATAGTGCTCCAGAGGGCTGGTCATTACCCTCTTACCTCACATTAGCAATCGCCGTGGCTAATATTGGACCATTGATCTTAATGGTATTGAAATTAATATTTAAACAGCGTTTAGATGAGAGAATATTTATTTATATTGAGATCATTGTTGGTCTAATATCGTGTGCTCTAATAGCGCAGTATTGGAATCGTACAACAAATAATCGCTCATTAGCATTTATTATACTTGTATTTCTTTTGGGTAAGATAGGTTCAAACTACGAGTGGTGATTACAACGACGCTTGTTTCGACATTTTATAGGTACACTTGATTGTACATCGACTGTCACCTATTCCGATTATATGAAACGTTATTCTCATCAATTACTCAATTCTTTATATTTGGGTGAGAGTTTAACATCTTTATTACCATCGCTTTTGGCTTTGATACAAGGTGTGGGTGGTGAAGCCGTGTGTCATACTGTTAATGGTACAACAAACTTATCTTATCCGGTTTACTCCAGACCACGGTTTTCTGTTCAAACGTATTTTTGGATATTATTTTCTATTATATTCGTATCGCTATTGGCATTTTTAATGTTAGAATATTCACAAGTATCAAAACACTTTCGAGCAATGCATTCAAAGCAACGAACGTGCGATGTCAATAGTACATACGAATTAGCGCCAACACAATTACGTAAGCCTAATTAAAGGTATACGAAGTGGCCTAAATGTTTTCTGATTTTAGCTGTTTTAGCACCTACGAAAATGTCAAACTTTACTTATTACGTTTTATCATCGACAAGCTATTTCATGTGTATCATCCTCTTTGGTATATTACCGGCAATTGGCACTTATACAATGTTACCATATGGTCAACGTGCCTATTATGTATCGAGTTTATTACTACCGCTTGCAAGTCCTTTATCAGTTGGCTTTATTCTTTTACGAAGTATCATTCGTCTTCCGCTTATACTCTTCCTCTTGCTAATCGGAACGTGTTTGTCTATCTATGCGTTAATCGTTGCATCTCAAAGTCCTTGTCCAGTGTTACATGATACTGTAGGTGGTGCCATTATTGTGATAAGTGCCTATTTTCTCGCACAGTTAATATTCAATTATTTAAGATTAGTTATCGGAAATCGTGTTCGACAAGAATATCATAAAGAAAGTGGTTTGTTTTGGTTAGGGGCAATAAGTCAGATGGGTAATTTGACTGGTGCGATTCCAATGTATCTGATTATTAATAAATATAACGTTTTTAAAAGTAGAAATATTTGTCAGTTGTATTGTACATAATCTTTAGCACATTTTTATAAAAATTTTCAACTGTATACATAAAGGATGTGTTTTTTGCTACAACAAAAGTAATTACTATCCTTTCACATTTGGTATATGATTAATGTTAGTTTGCCTAAAGTTTTTGAGGTTGTTTCCCGCTAGCCGTCAATTTTTCCCGTCAAAAATGGCCGCTGTCACACATATAAAAAAGGTCAAGATAAGCTAGTGAGGAAGTGTACTGAGAAATTTATCATTACGTTAACCTACAGCGTATTAGATTGAATTCGCCAATCAAAAACGATTATATATTTTTCGTTTTCGCGTTCATACTTTTCTGATACAGGAATCAGGACAGACGACATCCAAGATGGACATATATATTCTTTTTCGCCGAAAATGGTGAGAGACCAAAGAATACTGCAATGGTTATTTTTCCTCAGTAGGTCAAATCCTCACTAGCTTATCTTGACCTATAAAAAAGGAACAGAACAAATTTGATTCATCAATTTTTTGAAATCCAGTTCGTAGACAAATCAATCAATTAAAACAGAGAAATCGGTCCGCAATAGATAGGTTGACTACGTCTGTCGCTAAAGTATCATGTTTTCTCATTGGTTTGTAATATATTTCAGTGAAAAAATATATCGACACTCGTTTTTCCTGGAGCCACTTTCATAAAGAAACTTAAGTCTGACTTAAGTGAATGACTTAAGTCCAAAACTAAGTTAAAGTTAAGTGCCACTTAAGTCAAACTTAGTTTTTCACTTAAGTCTGTTTCAGAAAGCACAACTTAAGTTCGACTTAGCAGCTAAGTAAAGAATTTGACTTAAGTCAAATTTTGACTTAAGTCACACTTAAGTCGAAAAAGATGAAAAATCGCGTTTCATAAAAAAACTTAAGTCTGATTTTTGACTTAAGTCAAACTTAATTTTTTACTTAACTTAAGTCACCTAAATAGGTGACTTAAGTCAATAATTTGGTCTTATTTCTCATAACTGAACGCCTTTTCTCAATTATAAAATAAATAAAATGGCAATAACAGCACTTTTAGTCGCAAAATCACTAAAACGAGAACGAATATTTCAAGACAGACAAAATCGCATGGAAATGATGGCGGATGATATGGTTATTTTTTATCTAAGCGGCGAATAAAATTCAATATAAAAAAACTTTTAAAAGTATTCTGTAATATCGGTTGATTTCTAAATACGTATGAGATTTATAGGATGAAATTTTCACGGTAACAGTAGTACACACTTTATATGTAATAGAAATCGGAACCGTATAACCAAAAACACTGCATTTTGATCTAAGGAACAATAGAGTTGGGTCAGCGAAAACTGACAGAAATGCCGGAAACTCGACAATAACTTAAAGAATAGTAGACTGGACAGGCGTATGTAACGTATTCTTCCAAAAACCCTATTAAAAGCGTCGTATTTTTTAATAGATTTCTAAAATTCAGAAAAAACGATCGTGCGTCCACACATTACCCACAATGTCATTATGAGCAGCGTTATTCCTCTAAAATTTTCTCCTTAGTGATAGCTACATATATCACGGTAATGCACTTAAAGTGCATTCATTTTGACTTAAGTCAAATTCTTTACTTAGCTGCTAAGTCGAACTTAAGTTGTGCTTTCTGAAACAGACTTAAGTGAAAAACTAAGTTTGACTTAAGTGGCACTTAACTTTAACTTAGTTTTGGACTTAAATCATTCACTTAAGTTTCTTTATGAAAGTGGCTCCTGTTAAGAATTCCTGTTTTATATGTTTTATATGATAACATATATATCTGTTCAGATATTGCGTGGTCAATAGAAGGGGATATACTGTTTCTGTTCTATAAAGAAAAAAAAATTTCTCTTCCTTTCTTGCGGTCCAAAAAAAAAAATAAATGGTTATGATCCATAGAATATTAGATATAATATGAAAGAACCAATCACAAGGTTGATAAATATATCTGTTATAGTCTCGTTTTTAGGTCAAAATCAATCTAATCCTTTTAATTCCCACAGTTTTATGGCTTAAAACAGCCTGATTGCTCTTTTATTTCAAAAATCTCTTTATTTCGGCAGCCATTTTGTCATTTTTACATAGTTTTGGATCTGATGGCTAGCCTTTTTCAAAATTCCTGCTATTCAATTGACGGCTATTTTTGACGGCTAGCGGGAAACAACCAGTTTTTGAGTATAGTAGTACTATATTAAATAATTCAAGAGCAACATAATTAAATACTAAGATAAAAAATGATGAAATTCGATTGTGCTATTGCATCAACAAAAAAAGAAAAAGTATGAGAAATGTAATAATTTCTCAACACGATAAAAAGTTGAGCAGTCTCTAAACAAAACATCGGTAAGCTGTTATTTTGATCAAGAGAAAAGTAACATGTCGTGTCTCAGTGCGGTGTCGTATGTAGAAATTTGTGTGACTGTTAACTTCAATTACTGAAGAAATAGACATTTTATTTTGTTTCAGACTTGGATCTCTGCTAACTATAATCGCAATTATTTGCTGAATATTTATGTTTTAGACTATTCTAAGACATGAATCTTTCAAAAACAACATTAATTCCAACCCGATTAGGTGATGAGACAGCTAATATTGAAAATCAACAGCCAGCTGCTAATAAACAAGTGTTCGATAGTTCAAAATCACTCCAAAATCTTGGTGCTGGAGATACAGAACTCCTTGTGCAATTTTTAACACAGGATGAAGCGGATGAAGCAATGAAAAATCTATCAGTTGGGGGTGAAGTTGAGTATCAGGTATTGATCCGTTAGCTCTCTACTTGCGCCATAAACTAATAAAAAGTCTTCTCTTCTCTTTCGAAGCAATGGTATCATATGCCTAATCGCAAAAAGGTCTCAGATCCATTGCTAAAATTAAAACGTATAAAACGTGCTCTCGCTAATAAAACCGATGATGGTCTGATACCCTATTATCGTTTTCCTGTCAATGATCAAAATCGATATGGTATTTTAGTACCAATGACGCCAACAATTGAGAAAATTCGACAAAAAATTATTGAAAAAACCGGCGTTGAAGTAAACCATTGTGTTATACTGTTATATCGTAACACGGATGATTGTATTGGTTTTCATAAAGACAAAACGTTAGATCTGGATGAAGATGCGCCTATTATTAGTTTGTCATTAGGCTGTGAAAGACCCTATATACTTCGTGATGATATTTTTAAACCAACAATAGAACAGGAATTTAAATTGCCACATGGCGCTCTGCTTAGGCTTGGACCAAAAACAAATGCAACCTATTATCATTCAATTCGACAATTGACAAAAAGTGAAGAATTATCAACTGATAATGATTTAACCTCACCACGAATCAGTTTAACATTTCGAAAAGTCTTAACATTTAAAGATGAAAATGATCAAGTGTATGGGAAAGGTGCACAGTACCAAACATTAAATTGGCCAGAAGCATTAAATGGCAAACATAGATATGATAAAGAACTCGAACTTTCATTATTAGAAGTAATTGACAATTGATCTATATAAGACTGATGAAAGAATTAAATTTTTATTGATAATCAAGTTACACTTTAAATAAACGTGTTTTAAAAAACCAAAGTGATTTTTAGAGTTTCTTCTAAACCCATAAAGGGTTTATTAAATATTAAATAATATATTGGTACATGAATGTTTATCGGCCTGGAACGGATCCGATAAACATTCATGAATCCAAGGTAATTTTTTCCCTCACTTATATGTACTTTGAACTTCTTCTTCAAAATCAGGAGGGGATACTTAAAGTGAGTTTACTATAGGTTATATTCGATTTCTTTTGCCATAGTTGTTTTCTTATTCAACTTTATTTTCTTTTACTTATATGGTTCAACTGTTCATGCACTTAATGTGGTGAAACCTTTTGACATACTGAAATATGCATTTTCTCTCCAAATTCTCTCGTAAATTATACCACGTATGATGTAAACAGATTATTCAATATCCGATCACGTTAATTAAGAGTGATGTTAGACTATGTTTAATCAAGATAACCTAGAGGAAAGGATTTGAGCTTATATTTTAGATAACTATAGGCATCATTGTTCGAGGGAGTAAACTTGTAAACATCCTGCATATAAGTGCTCAGAAACACTGTAAACTTGTGTCTTTTTACTGAGCGAAGATCTTCTATAAGTGTGTAAAAAAGATATCGCGTTCTACAATACGAGAGAGCCTTCACAAGTGAAAAAAAATTAAAAAACACAATCGTTTTTGTGAAGTACACAAATTTCAGAAGCGGACTTCGAAATATCAGAAAGCAGTATTTGAGGGTTCTTTTGCATTTGCAGCTATACAAAACACATTTCAGTTTTGCAGAGCGAAAAAAGCCTTGAAAATACTCTTTCATGTATGATTAAGTGTATTTTGGAATACTGTTGAAGATTTTTGAACTCGAGCACGAAATGCACAATGTACGCATTGACGTATGGTTTTTGTGTCGATGAAAAATGGAAAAGGATTTTTACATTTCAACTGTTAGAAATAGATTTATTAGTCTTGAAAACAATAATACCCTTAACCGTTTTCACATACTTTTAAAGTGGTGTTTTTAAACACGGAAAAAGTTTCACACTCTAAATACAAAACTAAAATGCGTTTCATATAGTTGCAAATGCGTAAACCCTTTTTTAGTTTTGTAGTATACGTTGTTCTTTAGAGTGTACCACATCATCAATAAATAAATGGCCGATGTAAAATAAGAAACTGAATTTCAACAAACAAAGTCCATTATTCACCCGATCAATGTTTCTTGATATTCTTTTAATTGCTACACATGACACTGTAAACAAAAGTATATCCTACTTTACTTTTTAAGGTGCAAGAGGTGTAACTTATTGTTCTTTATCGGTGCGTTGTTATGGTATTTTAATCAAGGTTTAATATTATCCTACTGTTTTTTTCTCTCCTTATGTTTGTCTGATCAACTATCGATGAGGCAATAATATTAGTGTAAATCAATGCAACTAATGCTCTCATATGGAAACTCTCCTTTTTTCCGATTTTCTATGTATGATGGTGTTAGCAAAAATCTGTGCAATCGGCCTAAGCTACAGTATTGAAGATACATGATGTTGCGAAATGCAAAACAAATAAAAAGACTGAGCGAGTGTCGGACACATTCTTCTTTCTTATCCAGTTGCAAAAAAAAAAACGTCATCATTTCATCTAATCTCCCTTGAGATAAATGACATTTATACAATTTCAAAATATGTGACCGATTGCGTAATAATAACAAAAAACGTTTAATGATCAATATAGAATATTTAAATAAAGATAATTCAGCCATAGAGATCGATCAAATGATGTAGCTAGGATTCTGGCTCCACCATAACATTACAAATCTCATAACTTCTCCTCCTCGTTACAGAGTACTTTAGACAAATACTATATAATATCATTCAGCTAATATTTTGTCAGCAAAGGTATTTCAACCTTCGAGATAAAATTTTCTGTTGTTAAATTATTAAAATTTTTCATAATGGAGATAGAAAATGAAGCAAATGAATTAATACTGATGAATAACATTAATATTATAATTACATGATTATTTGTGGCAAGGATCTGATCAAATTCTTTCAAAAACATCTTTCTCGAGTATAGAAAATTATTCAAGAAGGGCTTATTAAGTTGGTCTAATTTACGTTTTGTAAGAAAATGACTAGAATAGGTGAGTGTCGATCGCTTCATTATCACGATTTGAGTAAGATTGTATGTTTTGAAAATACTTTGCGGTAGGAAAGAATGCTAAATTACTAGCTTTATTTAGGAAGGAGTATGTCGCTCTGATCTCGTTTTTAGCCTCATAGATTTTTACATTAACCCTAGATTCGATAAACACACATTATTTTTGTATGATTTTGAAAAAGCTTATCAATCTAGATTTGCGGTGTGGTCTATAGGTGTACTCTCTTACCAACTGGCTGCTCTTAAGTTTTAACGTATATCAGTTCTTTAAATCTACCGTTTTTACAATGATTTCACTCTAAAATTACATTAATCCAAAAAGAATAAATTTGCCACCGTTGCTTCGGAGGAGTTACATAAAATAAACTAAAGTAGGATGGTTTAGGCAACTTTGTGGATGATACATTTTTAACACGATTTTGTTTCGTCAGCTTAACATATTATCGAGTTAGAAGTCTCAATCAAATAGAGTTGATGAATAAAAATTCAAGTATATAACTGACATGGGATTCAACAAACTTATTTTGCAATGGAATTTATTGCCGTCTCTCATGAGCTGTTGTTTGTGTGCATATTTTTTCCGACTTAACATCTCATTCAATCGTCAAACGCATAAAAGTTCCCTGCGTTGGGTTTATAATTGCACGTTTACTGATAGTGTTTTACTAGTGCTCTACTTTTTACAATAGGAAACTAAAATATCGCCGACTCATTGCTTTCCATTACAAATTCAACACATTCTTTGCCCATTTAATGACTTTAAGAAAGCTTGAAGCTAACTACATAATATCATCAATAACTAACTGCTTACTTTTACTACATAATTTAAAGCTGTTTTTAATGTACTTTGAGAGGAAAAATGTTTAAAAAACAACAAAAAAAGTCTCCTTATGTTATCTGGTCTTTTTTTTAAATTTTAAGATGGACTTAGCACTGGATTGAAATCAATCTATCATTTCATGAAGATGGTCTATTTTTAATGTTTATGGACAGTTTAACTAATCTGAACAACTGGAATCACTAGAATATACATTTTTTTATCAAAACGACACATTCCGTCCTAAAGATGATCTAGATCAAAAATACATTACTGACGGCTCGGAGATGCTAAGCAGTCACGAGCAACATGATATCGCAAAAGTGCTTAGAGCATTTTCTCAGTGATAGTGGTAAACTATGGCTCTTCCCTATATTCTGTAAGTCTAAGTAGAGCCAGTTCCGCTAAAATTTGAGTGAATAACGGTATAGTTGCGAAACACTATAACGACAGGATCGTATCTGATACAATCGTGTACTAAACAATAATATTTGTAATTGCTTTTAAATTCACAATCAAATATTCCAAATTTAACTATACTGAATCATTATTGTGCATGACACATTGGGGAGGTTGTATTTTAAATGTATTCTCTGACGTAATAGAATCTGAAATAGCACACTTTTTTACCATAGTGCACTATCATTAATATAAGGCATTCTATGAATATTAGTATTTAGTTTCCTGTTAAAGAATAAGTACATAATTATTACGCATAACTTCTGATTTAAAAAAAAAGCACACATGCTTTATAGACAGGTCGGCATTTTTAAAGTTCTTAAATTTACACAAGTCTCCGTAAAAACCCTCCATGCACAATCTAATTGTATCTGATTATAATATTCGATTCGTTTTTTTTTGCTTCACACTGAAAAGAAGTATGCAAAATAGTTTGATACGTTGAATATTATTTTCTTACTTTTTAATATTGTCCCACGGATACTATTTCAAAAAAATAATTTCATGAGAGAAATAATGATGTTTCGTAGTCATGCATATTTAATGAATAAACAATCTATATGATAATTTTTTATTTCATATCTTATCGAACATTCTTCTTCTCTTTATTTAGCACGATAGTGTTTCAAATATAATCTAGTAACTCATTGTTCTTTTAAAAGTCAAAATGAAAATATTAATATCTTGCGAGCATATTGATTAATAATTTGTTCTTTTATAGATAAAATAAAATAAAATGGAGGAGAAAACAATAAGTTTTATCACATATACTTTTATTTTATTTTTATTATTATTAGTAATAGTAGAATATATATATATAGTTAGAACTTTATTAGTTATTCTAAATCTTGACAGATTACTGACTTACGCTATTTTGACATACATTATTTAGTTATATATTGAATTTTTATTATCGTTCTTAATTCAACGACTCGTCACATGCGATTGATTATGGAAAAGAGTATTTTCTTTACTCTTCTGTAATGAAGTTCAACAAATATATTTTTTATTTGATCTTCAACTGTCTCTTTAATAAATGAGAACTGAGAGATCTAAGATCAAACATAACTTAAAATAGGTATAATTATTTTTTTCGAGAAATATTTTTATAACTTTAATCAAAAATCTTTGAGTCCATAGGATAAACTAATCGGTTATACACAAATTGTTTGTATTTTAAAAATATGACGAGTAGAATTATTATCAATAGTTTAATTCCACCATTCCTAACATTTTTAAGCATCTTTTTTTTCTTCTAGACGTCGAATACCTGTGTAAGTAAATAATATTTCTATTATACGTAAAATATCCTTGTGTCGCATGAATAGAAGTGTGTGAAAATATTCTATTTTCAATTCATTAAATACTCGGTTTTTATTTTTTTAACTTCTTTTACTTCTTCCATTTGTAAAAACCGTATTTGAAAAGTTTGCAATTTCTGCTAGTAGAAACATATCTAAATGATGTCTAGAATATAGTCCTTAATTGAATTTCTCAAAATTAAAGAATTGAGCATAATAATTAAATTAGACAGGAATTTTTTCTTTACAGTTTTCAATAAACATAATTAGAACGTATTTGTTCGGTTATTTTGATTGTGGATATGATGTTTCATATTTGAATACATGTTATTTTCTGTGAGATATTTTAACGTTCTTCTTGTACATGTTATTTCTCCTAAAAAGTATTCAATAAAAAGCCGTACAAATATACTAACGAGGGAGCCTCGCGCCATTTCTGTAGCTTTGAGCTGACAATGAACATTTAGGGCTGTTGTTGTAAAAATTCTACAAGTTTGCAAAGATACAGGGTGATCCAAAAAAAACTTACCCCCTGTGTATTTATTGACTTTCACTTGTGTATAAATGTAATTGAACTTTTTACCATTAGTTTATTCGAATAGAGCAAGGATTTCTGGACGAAATGAGACGTCTCCGAGCTCTCAAAGAGCTTTTCTCATGAAACAGCATTCAATTTATGAAAGGTCCCATACCACCCAAATCGGGACAATTAATGGGCAAGCAAGAAAAATATGCTCTTGGGACCTTCCGTAAACTCAATGCTGTTTCATGAAAAACGTTCTTAGAGAGCTCGGAGACGTCTCATTTTTTCCAGAAATCTTTGCTCTATTTAAATAAACTAATGATAAAAAGTTCAATTATATTTGTACACAAGAAAGTTAATAAATACACAGGGGGTAAGCTTTTTTGGATCACCCTGTAGGCCGTGTAGAGCGGATATGTCTCATTTTAATCAGAAATTTGCGGGCTACAATCATGTCTCAATAAGAAAGGTTCTGATTACTGTTTAGAGTTTCTGAAAACCTGGTTTTGCAGAAAAACGCTCTTTGAAGGCCTCTGGGCAACTACTACTATGATATTCAAATTCAGCATAGTTGACCAATGGCATAGTTGAGCCACTAGATTTGGCTGAAAAAGCTATGTGACAGTTCGCGAGATCCCCTCTTGAAACACATTGGCCCAATTGTCTATACTGAACATTAATCTAAGTATAAGATACCGCTTTTATTCAAAGTAAAGGTCATATCCATGATCAGCGTGAAGTGTTTAATCGAATGATGTTCGATATATTTAATAAAATATTCAAGTTTTAAGCAAGGCCTGAGATTTATTTTAGAATTAATCAGAAATTTATGCTGACCTATCTCCAGATCAGGCATAATAACCGACTGGCTATTTAATAAAACACGTTTTATACAAAAATATGATTAATTATCACTTAGAATCTATTGATTATGATCGGTTATAACCATAACTGGTATCGATTACCAGCCAGTTTTGTGGATTGCGAATGTGATATTTAGTTTAATAAAAACTATGCCTTGTACTTGAAAATGGTGAATTTGTGCTAAAAGTAAACGATGAGACTGTGTAGCTTGCATTCTGTTTATGGAAAAGTTGATGGAAAATACCTTAATTCTGAACAATAAGATAGGCTTTTAGATAATAGTCCAAGTAGATGGCTAGTCTAGTTTTGCCCTGAAGGCTTTGTAGATCTATTAGGATATATTTTGCGAGACACGTTAAGATATAATGTTTTCCATTAGCGCCGGAAGACATGAATCTTAATGACATATTCTCGTTGGATCATTGAAATGGCGGTGTCAATTATTGAGGACTTTTCAGAACTCTAAATGAAAGCATCAATATGTTTTTTAATCAATTATCAGGATGTAATAATAGTTGTGTAGTAAAAGTTACTATTCTTTTCCTTGTTATTTCTTTTACGAGTTAAAATGTATCGTCTCTCTTCAGAATTCTCAAACAATAAGGAAATGATCAATTAAATGTTTTTCATAAATATTTTCTTCTGTCTTTCCTATAGTCATAAAATCATAGAACAATGTGTTGATGATTTTGAAAAAAACAAGTTTACAATAATATTTGTACTGCAAGCTCAGTAATCATCCAGTATATATTTATAAAAAGTATTTCTCTCTCTCGGGCTAAGCGTTACTCATAAATACCACGAAGAATAACTCTCACGTTACGCACATCCTGTCTACTATTTCTGTCTCGGAGGTAGAACCGGTATAGAAAAATGAAACCGTTACCAATTCGTGATTTTTAAATTTCAAACTCGATCGGCGGGTTCTGCCGATTTAATCAAACAATTTGAAGTCTTGCGAGTATTTCTAGATTTTAGAGATCAGGGTCAAGAATAAGCACTAACACTCAGCTTGGAAAAAGTCACGGCTACGTACAACTGTGACAAAATATACAAACAATGTCTTTAACAATTTGACTCTAAAGGAAACAAAACATAAATCTATAGTATAAGAAAAAGGGTAGAAACTCTTGTTGAACAGGAAAGTCTCATTGTTATTTTCTGTCTAATGATTTATTATTCAGTTGTTTTTTGACCATAAATGATTTATAATTGCTTCACATAGTATGACTAATGATTTATTCGAAAGACTTGAAAAGCTACGTAATGATCAAAATTCCAAAGTTATGAGGTCAGATAGTCCATATTGTTGAGTAACAAGTTCCCTAGTATTCTTCAGCGTCTTCTCAACAATCAATGTCGTTTCCAAAGATTAATGTATTAAGAGGATGGAAGCATATAGGAGCATTTGGATAATCCTCAAAACATAATGAAAATTTTTGTTCAACTGAGAAAGTGAGTTTTTCTCGAAAACCGTCATCGTTTCCATACAAAAAATGTTCATTTTCTGCAATTTGTCACTATTTGTCTCTCGATCCCTATTGCAAATTTTTTTGAAAAAATTATTTTCATCAGAATCAATTTTATTTTGAGGGATTAGACATACGTCAGACATACTTTCTTTTAAAAATAACATTATATAAATAAAAATAGCTATTTTAAAAAAGTGCCGCAGGGAACCATAGACAAACTTATTGAATATATAAAATAAACTGTCATGATGTATTAAAGATTGCCATTTCGTTCAACTTAATTTTTTGTACTAATTTCGACTACAGTATGTTTTCCATTAGCAAAATTTTTTATTCTAGTTGACAACGTTGTGTAAAATGGCTGAAATCTGCGCCAAATAATAAACATTTGACGTTTTGTCTTACTATGAAGGCAAATGTGAACTAGCAATTTACCTCCATGAGAAAGTAATAGAAATAAAATAAATATTTATTAATAAAATCTACAAGTTTTAAAGATCAAAATAATAAGTTTTGTTCAATTTTTTGTACTTGAAGAGACTATGCCGAAAGTCCTACGAAAACTTGCCTGTTTATGATCAAAATACAAGAGTCAATAGACGTTTTTTCTCGGTTAAAGACTCTTTATTAACTGTATGCTATGTTATTGGTCAGTTGTCGTATCTATAATAGATGTATGGAACTGGGAATAAGTTTTTATCTGATAGTCATTTGCGTTGAATATTAAAAAAGGTCAACAGAACAAAGGCGGAAAAAACAGAAGAAACAAAAACTGTTGAATAAACACATTGATAGTACACACAAAAAAATAATGTAGTTTTTTTTCCTTCTTAGTCGCTTATCCCGTATGTGAAAAAGTACAGAGTTATTAATAAAAAAAAAAAATAATAATCATAGATGCCGATAGATCAGTGAGAAACAATAAAATTACAAGAATAAAGGTACTAAGAATCTTTTATAAAAAAACAATGACTAATTAAATATAATGTGAGCAATATGTGACTGACTATCTTATTCAATAAATTTTTTCTAACAATTTTATGAAAAATATTTTTATAGTTTAAAATGTCTAAAATGTTCAACTATTTAATTTTGAAAAAATGCTTAGGAGATTGCTTCATCTCATCAAAAAGGAGTCATGTTTTCTAATGATCATGGTTAATTTATTATATAGAATAATTGTTTTAAAAAAAAAGAAGTTTTTTGCTCCTTCTAATGCACTAGTCATAGTTGAGATGGCATTATGACGAGTGAATGAACAAAAAATAGCTAACAATTTTTTCTCCATAAATATCACTTAAGTCGAATGATTTAATTATTAATCCAGAAAATGTGAAGTCATTGTAACAATTAAACGCTTCATAAGTTAACTGTGCGTAAACGATAGTAGAATTAGTTATAAATCGAAAAAATATCTCGTGTGACTCTTTAGAAAAGGTATACATCAGTTACATAACTAGAATTTTAAGAATCGATCAGAGTTGCGGAGATCGAAATATATCGTTTTCAAATAAAATAACTTTAACCTTTGTAAAATGTCTTTTAGAAATATTATGATCATGGGACCATGAAAGGATGAAATAAAAACTGATCCATCCCTAATGAGTAGATAAAAGAACGATCATATTAATACGAACAATTTATTGTTTTTAACGATTGTATAAAATATGAACCTTTAGCGTTTTACATTACAGCACGTCTACAACGAATGTATTTTTCTTTTTTTTGTTTTAGGTGTTAATCATTCGTAACATAATACAAAGCATAATGACAAGTTTAACAACAGCAACAGCTGAAATTGTCACTCAAATATTATTTTATAATACATACAACAAAAATAGCAGTAATTATTCCGCATCAGTAATTGGAGATCCTAATTTCAAATGTATTCAGCGTCGTCTCTACTCAACATTTTATGTATTAATTAAACAATTAAACCCTATATATCTACGATTTTTAATCGTTCCAAGTATTCTCTTAAATATTCTATGTTTAATTGTATTATCAAGACCACATCTATCAAAAAAGTCGACAACAATATGTTATCTACGAGCATTAGCAGTATTCGATATGCTATGTATATCGTTGAAATTTTTTCGTATGGAACTCAATTATCAATCGGCTGAAAAAGGCCATAATATATTTCTATTAACTTCACCATTTTGTAAAGTATTATATGTTTTACTTAGTGCATCAATTTCAATCGATATGTGGATCATTGCACTTATGTCACTGTAAGTCAAAACCATATTTTCATAATATGTCAGTTCTATAAAGAAATGGTATTGATTGATGGTAATAATTATTTTTTGTAAGCGAAACTATAACTAGATTATGTTTCAAGAGAAAAAATAAAGATCAACGGTGCACCTAAACGCGAGTCTTCTTTTGTTGAAAAAAATAAACGAACAAAATTCGTTCTAATTATGTAGAAATTATTTTTGCTCATATATTTTAGAGATAAGTTAATTGCCGTTCGCTATCCATTGAAAAGTACAATATTATTGACTCAAAAACGTGCCTTTATATCCTGTGTCATCGTCACATTTGTTATGCTGTGTCTGAATTTATATTTTATAAAAACAGCAGATATTAAACTGTCAAATAAAAGAAAATATTGTACATTGATAACAGAGTCAATACTAATCGATATGATTACAGCCTCATTTCTACCCATAGGTGAAACACTTTCACTCTAACCTATTGAAATAATCAATCGCCGTTTATCCTATTTTAGGAATAATAACCTGTACAAATACGTACATAGCCATTGTGTTACATAATTCCACTAAAAAGACCTTAACATGGAATGAAACAACTCGTCTTACTGTAGCAAGCATCGATGCTGGCAGCATAAAATATAACAATCTTAAAAAATACAGAACATTTTTCAAAAAACGGAAATCTTCGATAGATTTAGAAAAAAATACTACATTAAACCAGCAACAACGTCATTCATCGTCTGTCGCACGGACATCATCACAATATGATAGTGGCGAACATAGAAATTCAACTAATGTGTTGAAACGCACAAGCACACAGGTAACAAGGATGTTGTTAGCTGTTACATCATCGTTAATTATTCTCAATATACCAAATACATTGTTCTTTTTATTAATTAAAATCTATGATCCACGTTTAGTTCTACACGATCCACACACCGAACATCCTCATAGAGAGTTACTACTAAGAAATTGTGGTCTGATAACAGATAGAGATTTGAATATTTATAAATTTGGTATCTATTCGTCGTTATTACAAAATATTCTTGGCGATTTACCGCATGTTGTCAATTTTTTCATCTATTGTATTGCTGGTAAAAAATTTCGACTTATATTTAAAACTGAAGTTTTATTATTTTTCCAAAAAACTCATATATTACATAAAAAAGATACGGGAAAATGGCGCATATCCACACCAGGATTGGGAAATGTTTCACAACAAATCGGAGCCAAACATGCACCGAGCATTTCAACAATAGCTCGAGATTCATATTATTATAATCAAATAGGACATTCAAGACGTTCAGTACCATACGCTGAAACAAAATTGCTAAATAACATGGATGAAAACAATGAACAAGAACAACGACAACAAACGGCAATAATTAGGACTACTGTCGACAAAAAGAGAAGATATTTAAGTGCAGAAAATTTCCTAACTTATTCAAAAAACATGCGTAATAAAAGATCCATTAGCATAAATGGAAAAATAAGTTTTTTGTCGACACCAGATTTAAGTCGCAATGGTAACAATGATAGTTGTATAAATACACTAAACAATAATAAAGATTTATAGACACAATTTAATCGCGTTGTTACTGATGCAATAATTACTCCCACAATACCGCATGCAAATGAAAATCTGAACGAAATTAAATTTGTCGTTGTTTCTCTATATTTTTGTTGTTGTTTTTCTCGGAATAAAACTTTACAGTTACGTATGAACGCTAGACGCTTTCGTCGATAAATAGAGAAAGAAATGAATTGATCATTGGAGGTAAATCAGTTTTTCAGAAACTCTAAACAGTAATCAAAATCTTTCTTAATGAGACGTGATTATAGCCCGCACATGTCTGATTAAAATGAGACATATCCCAACTCTACACGACTTACCTTTGCAAACTTACAGAATTTACAACAAAAGGCCTAAATGTTCATTGTCGGCTCAAAGCTACAGAAATATGAAGAAATTAATTTAGGGCTTTTGTTGTATATTCTATAAGTTTGCAAGGAAAGGTCTTGTAGAACTGGGATATGTCTCATTTTAATCACAAATTTGCGGGCTATAATCACGTCTCATTAAGAAAGCGTTGATTGCTGTTTAGAGTTTCTGAAAAACTGATTTTCCAGAAAACAGGTCTTCAAGACTCATGGGGGAAAATACTTTTACAGTATTTACTACCTCAGTGAGGTCTGTCGATCCATACAAATCATTAGAATCGGAAGGTGACATCTCGAAAGGTTCCCTCGTGAGTAAAAAATCTCAAATTTTCAACATATTTCCCCTTTGCTGTATGATATTCTTCCTTACATTTTATTTACACAGATTTTTGTGTGGTTACTGAATATGATGCCGCCGATGTTCAGAAATGTGATATACTTTCACTTGGCTATTAATTTCTTTCTTTATTTATCCTTTATATATTAAATTGAAAGCGAATGTATAACATCCGATAAGTGCAACTCGTAACAACACATACAGACCAATGGCAATGTTATTGTCAAAAATACTTCCACTAAATAACAACTGTCACATATACATCAGTGTGAATCACCATCCTAACGAATGGGATAGGTATATTTTGTTAAAACTTCAACAAGGCAATATACTTGTCGAAAACCCTTAAAATTATTTTCTTATCATCGCCAACAAACGCCTTCTGTCACAATTCTCATCATATCCTTCGAATAGATCCGTACGTCTTTACAACAAGTATAAATAGGACGCCAAACTTCAATACACACAATACAACTCAATCGTCCTACCAAGTTTTCTAATACTCAACTCAACTCAAAAATGAACGCTGGTTTAGCATTATTGTTCTTCGCTTGTTTCGGTGCCTGTATGGCCGACCAACGCTTGG